TTTTAATTTTTGGCATAAATTAAGCTCCAGAGCTTTGGTTCAGTAGACCTCAAGGAGAACTTACCCTTCTAGAGTCATGTGTAGGGATGGGAAACCTATAACCCTCTAAAAATATTACTGGACTCCAAGTCCCATTAGCCCCAACTAGCATGGTCAATGTCAGGGGTCATGGGAGATGTAGTCTAACAATATTCAGAAGGTCACAGGTTCTCCATACCTGAACTTCGTACTTATCTGCACTAAAAACATATTGTCTGCATTCTTGAACGTTACTTGAACATAAGTCACCCACTGTCCCCCATTTCCAGTTGTCACTGGCCTAAATTCTTTTCAAAAGCATGTCTGTGCCTACATATGGCCTGAGAAATGTATGAGGCTTCATACGTAGCAGCAATGTAGCAGCATATTAAAGACTCAGGAATTCTCATCTACTATGCTCACTAGTCAATCAATCAACCAACCATTTATAAACCACAGCCATGTTTGAAAAAAGAGGCTCAGTAATGGACGACAAAGTGAACACGTAATTAATACCCACTTTGGAAAGCTTCATCAAAGGAATTTATCAGAAAATGTGAACTCAATTTGAATTTAGAAACTCAAATACAGTGAATTTTGCAAACTCATAGTTTGCTACAGAGATGTAGCCATATTCCAAACATAGTGTGGACTTCAGCCATAGTAATACTGTCCAAGTTTGCAAAGTTGATGTAAAGATTTCTGAGCAAGGTCTCAGGGCAGAGATGTGGCCTGAAGATGTTCTTGGATTACAGTTCCCATCATTTCTGACCATGGGCCATGCTGACTGGGGATGATGGGAGTTGGAGTCTAACAGCCCCAGAGGCCCATGGGTCCCCCATGCCCTAGGACATGCTCTGAAGGCATGATCTAACTGATTATCTAGATTTGGTCAGTGACTGGAGGGAGGCTGAGTATTCTATATTCAGCACCTTGAAATTCATAATGGGTGAAAAGTGGAATGTGTACGAATGAACGACTGTTGTATGCAAAGTGCTTCCAACACTTTATGCTCTACATAATGCCAGTTTCTAGAGGACAATAGACACAAATATCTGAAGTTGGCAGAATTCTAGCTGACCTTGTGATAATGCAGAATAAAACACTGCCTAGCAAGAGATGCATAAAGGTTTGTTCAGAAATCCTGTTTTGTTTCCTTCTGATTGAAGGGAAATTGGTCATTCATTAAGTGCTCAGCTATTCAGTGGATATGTTTTTAACATTCCTCAATCTGCAGATAAAAAGTCTAATGTGGAAAGAGTCATTGTTTCAAATATTCAAAGCATACAGCCTCAACAAACGTTAGACCAATTTGGATTATTAAATCCCTTGTTGGCCAGCTGTCGTGCTGTGCATAAGTGGCTATTTTCAAAAGTAGGCACTTACAAAGCACAGCTGGGGACTGAGTAAAAGAGTCCAAAACATCCTCAGATTTCTTATCTGTGACTTTGGGTAGATGAAAAAAAAAATCACTACAAGCTCAGTTGTTAAATTTTCTATGGCATTTGATGCAGTAGCAGCACTTCAGACACTGCTGAGTGAATATGATGTACCATAATTCTTGTGAAGGATACTTAACAATGACTAAGGTTGTTGGCCTGATCCACAAGTGAAGGCGAGGTATGCTGCCTCTTCTTGACAAGCAAACAGAAGCATTTATTCATACAACATGTAATCAAACTTACTATATAGCTAATTTCCGTAGGGTATTGGGATGGCAACAAGCATGTTCCTCCTGTATACTGTGAAGGAAGCTATAATTAGCTGCATAGTGACTTCTTCTGAAAGTCGAAGGTGACACCCATCCTCTGTTTTTAGAAATCTGACTCCTCTAATATCCAGTGGTTTTTTTCAGGGGACACTCAAGAGCACGCAGGACCAGTACCAGAATGGCACCTACTGTAGCAACTTTGTGGTGAATACCAGCACTTATTTATCTAGAAAAAAAGCACTGCTAATATCATGTCAGGGATCAACAAAGGGTTTATTGTTGTGGTTGTTGTTATTATTACTACTATTATACACTATTTGTGAATTTTTCTGAATTATCTGTTTGGTCTGTCAACAGCCAACATGGTGAGCCAGCAAGACAATTGGTCTGATTTTTTTTTCAAATTAATCCCTGTTTTACCCCCACTGGCACTCTATGGCTATATCCTTTCTTTTTTTTTTTTTTTTTTGCAAGTAAATTTTTATTCAGAATTTGTATAAAGAAAAGAAAAAAGAACTAACAAATACAAAAATAAACATTTTAACATAAATTATTCATCCTATTTTCATACTATACAAAAAGAAAGCATATGTTCATACAAAAAATAATAATATAACCATTAGGCTCTCCTTAGCCTTTGACTTCCCTTCACCCTTTTGGTAAGTATCAAATAAGTCCCGGGTTGCGTAATTAGTTTATTAAAGTTTATAGTTATTAGCTGATAAAGTTTTTCTAATACCGCCAGTTCCTCCTATATATCCGTTCCAATATATTTCCAAAACTTACTCCAATTTTTTGAAATTTCTGGTCGTCTTGGTCTCGTATTCTGCCTGTTAATCTATCTAGCTCGGCATAGTTGATCATTTTGACCTGCCAGTCACTTATGTTAGGAATAGTTTCTATTTTCCAGTTTTGTGCCAGCATAATTCTTGCGGCTGTGGTGGCATAGAGAAATATTTTTATCTTCATTTTTATTTCCTTACCCATTATTCCCAGCAAAAAGGCCTCAGGTCTCTTGGGAAAAGTGTATTTAAAAACTTTTTAAGTTCATTATAAATTGCTTCCCAAAAACCTTCACCTTGCTGCATTGCCACCACATATGGTAGAGGTCTCCCTCCCCTTCACCACATTTCCAGCATGTCTTATTTTCTGATCTATAGATTTTAGCCAATTTTGCCGGCGTAAGATACCATCTATAGAGCATTTTCCAAACATTTTCTCTCAAACTCGTACAGGCCGTAAATTTAATGTCTCTATTCCACAATTTCAACCACTTTTCAAACTCGATGTTATAACCGAAGTCAATTGCCCATTTAATCATTGCCTCTTTGACTTCCTCGTCTTTTGTATGCCATTCCAGTAATATGTCATATAATTTAGACAATGTTTTGTTTTTGCCTTCTATTATTTCTATATTGAATTTTGATTTCTTGTCCTCAAAGCCCATTTTTCTTTTATCTTGTTTTAACATATCATTCACCTGATGATATTGTAACCAGCCGGTGAATTGATCCTTTATTTCCTCATACGGTTTAAGTTTAAGCCCTTGTTCTGATTTTCTTAGCAAATCTTCGTAGGTGGCTGTCTTCCCTTCCATGTTGGTTTTTTTATTGTTAAGACCTCTACTGGTGAAATCCACCATGGTGTTTTTCTTTCGAGAAGGTTCTTATTTCTTTCCCAGACCTGATATATTGGTCCCCTGAAAATATGGTTTAAGAAAGCCCTGTGGACTTTCACCTTCTCGTACCAGAGATATGCGTGCCACCCATACCGGTTATTGAAACCTTCTAAATCCAGTAGGTCTCTGTTCTCCAATTTTATCCAATCTTTTAACCAAAGTAGGCACGCTGCTTCATAATATAGGCTCAAATCTGGGAGGGCAAAACCTCCTCTTTCCTTTTTATCAATTAGTATTTTCATTTTAATCCTTGGTCTTTTCCCCTGCCAGATGAATTTCATCAGGGTTCTCTGCCATTCTTTACATTGTTTTAGACCTTTAATAACTGGAAGAGTTTGAAATAAAAACAACATCCTCGGCAAAACGTTCATTTTAACCACTGCTATCTTCCCTAAAAAGGAAAATTTCATCCTCCCCCATATTTCCAGATCTTTCTTTATTTTTTTCCATGTAACTTCATAATTATCTTTATATAGGTTTATGTTTTTGCCGTAATCCACACTCCCAAATATTTCACTTTTTCACCACCATGATTTCCACTTTTTGTTCTAGATCTTTCGTTTCTTCCTTAGTTAGATTTTTAACCAGCATTTTAGTTTTATTCTTGTTTACCTTAAAACCTGCCACCTCTCCAAATTCCTCAATTTTTGTAATGCTTCTTTTACACTATCTTGTGGATCTTCCAAAGTCAAAACAATATCGTCGGCAAAGGCTTTAATTTTGAATTCCTTCTTTCCTACTCTAATTCCTTTCACTTCTGTTGCCTCCCTCAGTCTCTTATTAAGTACTTCCAAAATTACAATAAATAATAAGGGGGACAGAGGCAACCTTTTCTGGTCCCTTTATAAATGTTAAAATATTCTGTTGTATTGTTATTTATCACCAGCTTTGCTTTCTGTTCTTTGTATATTGCTTCTATGCCTCTTCTAAATTTTTCGCCAATTCCCATCCTTTCCAAAGCCTTCTTTAGGAAGTTCCAGGAAACATTATCAAATGCCTTTTCGGCGTCTATGAAAACCAGTGCGGCTTTTCTGTCTATTTTCATGTCCAGGTATTCAATAATGTCAATCAAATTCCTTACATTATCCCGTGATTGTCTCCCTGGGAGAAATCCTGTTTGATCACCATGAATTTTATTAATCAAGACCTTCTTTAATCTTTCCGCCATTATGTCTGCAAATAGCTTATAATCATTATTTAATAATGAGATTGGCCTATAGTTCTTTACTTCCATAGTGTCCACCTCTTTTTTAGGGATCAATATAACATAGGCTTCCTTCCAGGTATTAGGTATCTTTCCTTCTCTCAATATATTGTTCATAACCTCTCCCAGCACTGGTGATATTTGGTTAATTAATGTTTTATAATATTTGGCCGGAAGGCCGTCCGGTCCAGCGCCTTCTCAGCTTTCATCTTTTTAATAGCCTTTTTATCTCTTCCTGTGTTATTATCTCATCTAGTGCTGCTCTTTCATCTTCTACAATTTGTTCCAGATGGTGTTTTTGCAGAAATTGATCTATTTCTTGTTCTGTTTCCTCTCCTCTTTTGTACAAATCCTTATAATATCTTTGGAATATTCTTTTTATTTCTTTTGGTTCTTCCATAATCATATCTCCTTCTTTTATTTTACTGATCGTATTCAACTTCTTCCTTTCTCTCAACTGCCACGCTAGATATTTCCCTATCTTATTTGCGGACTCAAAGTTCTTTTGATTCATCCTTTTAATTTTCCACTCTATCTCTTGGTTAATTATTGTAGCAAATTTAGCTTGTAGTATTTTTAAGTTCTGTTTTAAACTCTCTTCACTAGGGTTAACAGTTAATTTTCTTTCATTTTCCATAATCTGTATTAAAATCTGCTCTTTCTTTTTTTCTTTTTCTTTTCTTAATTGGGTATTTTTCTGAATCAAAAAACCCCTCATGACCGCTTTTCCTGCGTCCCACACCATCTCTATGGAAGTTTCTCCATTTAAATTCCACCTAAAGTATTCTTCAATTGTTTCTATAGCCTTATTTACTATCCTTTGATCATTGAATAAATATTCATTCATTCTCCATCTGGCTGTTTTAACCTCTCTACCTTTTAACTCCATGGAAACCGCACTATGATCAGATAAAGTTCGAGGCCAAATTTCAGACTTAATTAAATTCTGTACCAATTCCCTCGAGACCCAAATACTGTCTATCCTCCCCCAGCTCTGATTCGGATTTGAAAAAAAAGTGAATTGTTTTGCAGTAGGGTTTTTAAACCTCCAAACATCCGTCAATCCCAAATTATTTACCATGTCGAAGAAAGATCGTGGTAGTTTACCTTCTTTCCCATCTTGTCTTTTTGTTAATCTATCCATATTCGGCGTCACCACCCCATTAAAATCTCCCATCAATATCATTTTCTGGTCCATCCATTCCATTAGTATATTATCTAATTCCAAAAAGAAAGCTGATTTTTTCTCATTCGGGCGTATATTCCAACCACAACTATTTTTCTCCATGAAACACCATCTGTACCACCACTACTCTCCCATGTTCATCTTTATACAGTAGTTGCGGGTCATATTTTTCCTTTATATAAATTACTACCCCTCTTTTCTTAACCTTGTCGGAGGTCACAAAGTCCAATCCCAATCTCTTATTACTTAATACTCTCTTGTGTTTTCCTATAACATGCGTTTCTTGAAGACAAATTAAATCCCAATTCTTTTTCAACAATACATGTGCAATCTGATTCCTCTTATTTTTATTGTTCAAACCATTGACATTCCAGCTTATTGTTTTTAAAGCCATCTATTAAACTATTCTAGCTAATTTAACTAGATTAAATAGAGACTACTGTTCCTTGCTTTCCTCCTCTTGTTCTTCTCCTTCTCCTGTTAAGCTCTCCTCTTTTTCTTCTTCTTCACTCCCTTCACCCTCCTCGTCTCTCTGTCGTTCCTCCCTTTCCACCTCCCCTTCAACTTTTCCCAGGTCCTTCTCGTATCTCCTCGCAAATTTTTGGAGTTCAAAACTGGTGCTTAATTTAAACCTTTTTCCTTAAAGTAAAATGAAATGCCTTCGGGAAACTCCCATCTATACAATATCCCATTCTTCTTCAATTGGTTTGTTAATTTTTGTATGGCTCTCTCCTTCGAAGAAATCTCGAAGGAATTTCTCTAAAGATAATAATTGGGCTTCCTCCAATATATAACCTTTTATGTGGTTCTGTTGCAGTATTTCATTTCTTATTTCCAAAGTGTTGAACATGACAATTACATCACCTGGCAGCTTTTTCTTTCTGGCTCTGTCTGATTTTGGTCTTATTCGAAAAATATTTACTAAATGGCAGTTTACCTCCTCCTCGCTCTTATTTAACCAAGTTGCCAGCTCTTTTATCATTTTAGATCTAATATTCTCATTTGGGGTCTCTGGTACACCCCTCAGTTTTAGGTTGGTTTGATTTTGCCTCATTTGCGTCATAGCCATATTGTCCAACAACTCCTCCTGCACTCTTTCTATCTCTTTAACTTCTACTCTAATTCTATCCACCTCCTTCTTACTAATTTTCGTATCTTTTTGCACCTTTTTCATTGAATCTTCCAAAACCTTAGTTCTTACTGATAAATCTTTAACCTTTCCTGTCAATTCCCCACCACTCCCTCCAATTTCTTATCCAAAGTGTCCTGTACCTCAAGTAATTTTCTCTCAATATATTGTTCATTATTTTTGAATTCTTTCCTTATTTCGGCCATCAGACTGCTATAGTCTTTAATTTCTTTACTTTCCTTAGCATCTTCTTGCCTCGACGACCTCCTTTCCGCTGGTGTTGCCACGCCTTTTTTTGCACCGTTTGTCATTTTGTAGGCTTGAAAGGTCTTGGGGTCCACCACACTAATGTTATTCAAAAAGGGATGAGGCACAGGATCACCGATAATCTCTGATGGGTTAATAAGTTACCGGGTCTGGTGTTGGGGTATAATAGCAGATATTAGGCATCACACATCAGGCTATACACAAAGTTTTACAATCTTTACCTTTTACAGTCTTTGTCCTCTTAGAGGGTGGTATTATAGAGGTCTGGCGTCACCAACACATTTTCTTTACTGGAGACTTGGCAGTTCTTCAGGAAGTGTTCTTTATGCTGGTTTAAATTCTCCTATTTGGCTTTTGGCGCATGTCCCTTTAAATCTCAAATACATGCAGAGGCGTAGTAGATCAAGGACAAGATGGAATGGCGGATAGCAAAGCCAAGTTAGGTCTCGAAATGGCTTCCTCCTCCCTTTTTATACCCGTGGGGGAAGTCACTAACATAAAACCAACATTAAGGTCTGGGGAAGACCCATGCTTTCTTCCACCCACTTCAAACAAAAAGTTGATGTTAACAATAACGTCCTCAAAAAACCTGTCAGTTAAAGCATCAACCAAATGCCCCAGAAACCTCCTTTCCTCCTCTCAAATCCGGTAAAGAGTCTCTCTATCAAAAGAAGAAAACTCAGTATTACCTTGCTTCCAACTCTTTGTACTTTGTACTTTGTAAAATGTACTTTATTATCGAGGATATTCCTTCCCCTCGCTAGCGGTTACTTTCTTGCTCTTTCATTCACGTCTGCCAGCTTTTCGCTTTACTCCTTTATCATTCTTACCGCCAGTAGTGAATTCCTCCTTCCTTTGTCTTTAATTACTTCTCCGCTGGGTACTTCATTCAACTTCATTCAACGTTCCTTTTGTTTTTACTTTGATTGTTTTCCAGTGTTCTCCCTCCTCTGCTTTCATCAAAGCTTTAGAACTATTTCCCAGCTTTTCCTCTGTTGTTGGAGGTCCGCCGCTTTCACTCGGAGCCTGAGGCTTCACAGCATGGAGTCTGATTTTTCCCCTTCTCGCTGCGGCTCCAGCCTTGTTAAACGCCGGCAACACAGGCGAGCACACGCAGCCTTGCTGGGTGTTTTGACCAACAGGATATTCCACCTGTGGTTTAGGGGTTCACGGAGCCTTCGTGACCCCTCTAAGACCCCCACGCTGTTCGAGGCTCCTCAGACGAGTTGCCTCGCGCTCCTTCCCGTGGCCGCGGCGTCCCGGAAGCTCCTATGGCTATATCCTTTCAGCCCAGCATTCTCAGAAACTATCAAACGTTGACCAAGTTTATGACACTTAGCTGTGCAAATGTGGAGTCAAGGTGGTGTTGCTACATCTTGCACACATAATATAAAGAAGCTAGGCATATCAGATTAAGCCACTTCAGATTTCAGAGCAAATAACTATTTTAACCCATCCAATATGACGCACAGAGATTAAACGTGGAAAATTGTAGCACTTACTGTTAATGAGAAGTTCATTTCAGCTGCAACTTGGCATGACCCTGACCTATGTGACCATTTTGGCTCTGCCCTGTGCTTTGAGTGTGGTACCATTTGAAAGTAACAGAAGAAGCAAACCTTCTCTGAAGATGAATGACTTCCCTATGTAGTGCACACATTGTGAACATGCCTATGTCTAATTCCTGGGGTGCTTGCTTGATCTATATCTACGTATAATAACAAAATGCCACCGTCATCCCTTCCAAGCCACATCTTTCTACTTGGATTGAGTATGATTTTGTATTCCCTGAGAAATTACCAACATGTGGGGTACCTCGATCACCTGAGTGTGTGTTCTGATTGGCCCAAGAATACCTCATTACCAACCTGCAACTCTGCAGTATGGGGATACCCACATTGTTATACATGCAGACAACTTGGTGCCTATATGTTTTGACATTTAATGTCCCCATCTTGGTCTATACTGAAATGAAATGTTCATGTAAGCCTCACACTGGGTTTTCTCCCCCCCCCCCCCGCAATTACGTGCTATACAAATCCTGCTAAATACAAACCAATAATGAAATTGCTCTTTGTATTAGTAACCTATGCCCATGTAAAACCCTCTCAAAATTGTTCACATGAGACTCTTTCATACTTCACCTTTTTCTTCTGTAAACTGTCTTACCCTCATGAATGACGGCAAGAAGAGATATTTTAGCCTTAGTTAAGACTCCTCCTCTATGCCTCTTTCCCCTATCTTCTTGCTCTCTGCTGTGTTTGTTGTTTTCTCTTAGGTTAGTCAGGAACTCTTAATGGAACAGCTCAGTGTTCTCCCTGAAGGAGAATTATGTTAGCCAGGATAGACTTAGCACAAGGGTGACCTGTGAAGGCTGGTCTACTTTTGGCTACCCCATCTTTTCATGAACTGGATCTAGTTGCTTAGTGAAAGAGAGCCAGCTTGCAACCTGGTTCTTTTGCTCAAAGATGACTGGCCACCACAGAATCTGTGCACAGCGTTCTCTAAAGCTCCAGTGTACAGCTCAGACCCTTCATTCACAGGTCACAGTATAATTCAGAAAACCATGTCCTTCTTATCCTTCCTCAGGATAGGTGGCTGTTGGTGTTTTATCTCTTCCTCTGACTTCTACTCCCACTTTTTAAATCTTGAGGGGTTTTTTTAATCCCTGTAATGCCCAAATGCTTTGTCATTAGCACCTGAACATTCCTCTGGTTCATCTAGACCGATTTTAGGCCTATCAAATACACGGTGCCCTCCCCTGAAGCTGCACTTCTGTGGGTGCACATGTGATCTTCAAGTTTATTTACATATATAAATGTGAACATGGGCAAGTCTGGTAACAAGTACCCATATCTGTATTGGAGAATGAACAGAAGTAACCAGGCATTCATAATCTGGCAGCTGAACCAGACTTGATTTTTCTTTGGAGATGTAGCATATAGTAACAATGCAGGCAAAATCAGTAAGCAAACTGGAAAATTAAACTCTCTCTAGTGTGTACAGATATCATTTTGATAGATGTGTTAATGCTTTATCTAGATAGAGATTGATAGAAGAACTATAATTTGTTAAAGAGCTTCTTTTCTTCTATATTCGTGACAACAATGCATTAAACAAGCACATTGTTCCATTTCATTGTTTGTATTGCAGAAACTGATCAATTTTAATTTACAAGTCCCAGCTCTTTTACGATTTCTTCTTGTTAGAATTTTGTTGGTTAGCAGTTCTCATTTTCATTTTGGGAAAAGTCACTTCTCTTGAAACCAGATGCTTCAGAGCAAATAGAAAATTATTGGAAGACATTCTTTATAATAAGCTGCCACTGTCTGAACTTTCGCATTATGAACTATAATTGATTTTGGGGGGGTTGGGGGGTGGGGATCCAGATACATTTTTGACTAG